CAAGTCAAACTTGCAGCACCTGTAGCCTTGATCAGACCTCGGAAACGTATACATGCATATAGATCAGTTCACGCACGTGCATGCCCTCAGAGTGCACAACGTGAAGCAAAACAACGTTTAGCTGGGGGTCCAGTATTTTGTGGCTTCGGCCTTCCCCGCAAAGACTTCAAAGTAGTCAATACGCCCAGACTCTGAGAAGGTCAAATTCTTTTGCCATAGTAGCAACAAAACCTTGGGAAAGAGATGTTGGCCACTCGCGTGTTAGTTCTTGTACCCTTACCTTAAGATTAGGCCCAGGCTGTTGCGATCAGCACCTACCATCAGCCACGTGCCCAAAAACAAAACAAAGTTGGTTGAAACTGATGGAAGCGAATGAACCCCTGTCATATGCCTTAGGCGCTTGTACTTGGAAAAGTCGAACCACAATCGAAGTATCCACCATGGCTTGATGCATGGATGGTACCAACAACCAGCGATGATGAGGCTTTCCAACACCCTGGCTTGTCAAAAGCTGCGCTGAACATATATATAGCCAATTGCAGTTACAGACTGATCACTCTTGACAGCACGTGCTTGTACAACCAGCTGTATGCATATCGAACCTGTTACCTCGTGACCAGATCGCTTGGATCTATGTGGAGTCTTCAAACATAATGCAGACCACAAGGTCAGCCTACCCACCCTGCCCAGCCTTCTGCGCCTAGACGCATAGCCGGCATTGGGCAGCCTGCCGGTGCACACTCTGTATGTGTGTTCAATGGGAAAAGCTGCCGAGCCATGCGGTTGCAGGCAAACTTGTTTTCCCAACACTGCCAACCAGACTTCATGATCGCCATGGAACGCGTGTCCCGTTGGCCACGTGCACAGTCAACTGCTGAAAGAGCTGCCCGTGGCAAAAACCACAGGATATGATATGGCCCCCTGCAGCTTTCAGCTGCCGCCCCGCGAAGCTTGTCAGCAACGCGAACCCCGAAAAAGAAGCAAGTGAATGCTTCAAACTCAAGCCCTCTCTTCACTTTGTGTCTTTGTATGCCTTGGATTCAGTCGACTTGCAAAAGTCATGATTTAATATGCACGCGCATAGAGCCATGATGCACGTTCAAGAAATGGAAAAATGCCAGTTGCATGCAATGTGCCATTCGAGCTCGCTTCCTAGCTTCTTCCTCTCCATGAATCTCCAAGTATGCATTGTAGGTTTTCTTGTAAGCGCACGATTTGCGGCTGAGCCTTTTCTTGCTTTCCTCCTTTTTCTTCTTTGCTTCTTCCGTTTCCTCTGCAGATTTGTTTGCAGATTTGGCCTTCGATGTGGTTGCTGCTGGGGTTTCCTCCGCCTCCATCTGTGGTGGGGTCTCCTTTGATTCCTGGTTGGGCTCCTTGACTTCCTCGGCTGGCTCATCCTTCTTGCCCCTTGCCTTCTTTTCCTTTTGCTTTTCTTCCCCATCAGTCTTGGCTCTACTTTTTCTCTTGGGTTCAGGCTTCTTGGCATCAGCATTTGCATTTTCCTTTCCTTTACGCTTACTTTCTTTGCCCTTCTTTGCAGCTGCTTTTGGTGTCGCCTTTGCCTTTGCCTTTCCAGTTCCTCGTTTGCTCCTGGGCCTCTTAGTTTTGGCTTCCTGCTCCTCCTCATCCTTTGGACCGTCTTCGCCTCCATCCTCCTCCTCCTCTTCCTCCTCCTCCTCATCCTTCTCCTGTGACTTCTTTTTTGTTCGCTTTGTAAGCTTTGATTGCTCTTCTGGGCTGATGTGCTGTGTTTTGCTCATTACCTCCAACGCTGCAGTAGCCTGGAAAGGGTCAAATTTCAGTACAGCGGTGCCAACGCATAATCGCTAGCATGGAACAAACAGGAAAACATGCGCAGTATCATGTATGCATGTCGTATATCCCCAACCCAAGCCTCTGCAGCAAACGCTGGAGGACCAGCTGCCTTGCTCTTCACCGGTGACAGTGACACAGGCGCCTCACCCTTCAGAACGTTTGAGTGGTGTGTTTCCGAAGTCTCCCCAACAGCGACCCCTTGACCTGCAGGTTTTACTTGTTTGTCACAGGGTTCGGCAGACTCACTGTGAACTTTCTCAATGCCCCCCTC